ACCATTAGCTAAATGTACTATCAATAAAATCCTGGGTCGCAAGTACTTACCTTAATATTTAAAAAAAAAAAAAAAAGTTTTTTGTATTGAATAATATAGATGAATTGAAAGGTTTTACTAAAAATTTTGTCAATTATAGGTTTAGTTGAATCTTTTTTATCTAGAAAGATTTCTAAATATCTAATTATTTTATTTGATTTACAAAGTGTAATTGGTGGGTTTTTTTTTTAACTTAAGATGTATCTAACAACTAAGCCTAGCATTATCTAGTTACTTTAATGGTACCTAAGTGCAACTTGCTGCATTACCTTAAACAAAAGTAAGCTGCTTGTTTAACTACTTAAAGTCTATAATGAAAGGGTCTTTCATCTTTTATAACAAGTTCTACAATTGTTTTTCTAACTTCTTCTTCAATTTACTTTTTGTTTTTTTTGCTTTCTTCTTTTTTTCTTCTATTTCTTGCTAAGTAATCTTTTTCTTCTTATTTGAATTCTTTTTCTTTCTTTGAATTTTTTTTTTATTTTGCTAGTTATTCCTTCTCTTTTTTTCTATTCATTGATTTTTTTACATTATATTTTCTAAACTTGCTTATAAAAGATATTTCAGACTGTTTCTGCTAATATATTCACAAATCATTGTCTTGTTCTTGTATTTAGAAGCCATACTAATCTGTCTTGAGTAATTTTTGAGATTAGGTTCTTAATTAGTACTTTTTTTATTTTTGTTTTTTCTGTTTCTGTCTTTTCAAATAGTGCTATATACAATATATAAGGTGAAACTCTAGATTTTTCTTCTTTTTTTAATTCTTTTTATACTGTTACAATGAATACTTTTTGTTTTCATTTTCAGAGACTTGATTGTTCTTTGCATACTGTTAGATGCTCTTGTGTTTTTTTGACTTTGTGATATTATACTAAGCATTCTGTATTTATATATAAATCTGGTCTTCTTTTGTTAAGTTCCTCTAATGTTAAGAGTTTGTTCAATACATACTTTATAAAAGCATTTCTTCTTATACTGCTTCTTCTTATTATACAGTGTATTTCTTTGATTAACTTTAGCCTTTTTCAAAAATTTGTCTAATTATAAATTGTTATTTTTGTTACTGGTTCTGAATTCTTAATCACTGTTGTTTCTCTTCACTCTGCATCTAGTCTGGTATTTGTTACTAACTTATATAGAAATTTTGTTAGCATATTTATTCATTTATTTTCTCACTTTAAGTAGTACTTTATCTCTTTGTAACTAACTTCTTCTATATATATTATCTTTCTGTTTATTGTTCTTTTTTTTATAAAATTATTAATTTTATTATTCTATTTGTTTTTGCTATAGCTTTTTACTTTAAACTATTTTATTTATATATTTTTTGTTTTAACTAGATCAATTATCTTCATTATCCAAAAAGTGTTTTTTTTTTTACTTCTATCTATATATTCTAACTTTCTACTAATGTTTCTAATTACAGTGTTACTATCTGTGAATATTTTTAATTTTTTCCTTTTCAGTATAGTTATAATTGCTGTTCATATTGCTAATAACTCTGCTGTCATTGACATTAGCCACCCTTTCATTCCTAATACTATGTCTTCTTCTGACTAATCTTGTGTTTCACTTATCTGCATCCATCTTATATTCATGTTTTATCTATTGCTTTCTTTTTGTTTTGTCTATTTATTATACTGTTTGTATATATCAAATACTTGTTCTTGTTTTTTAATATGTTTCTTTTTAAGATTTCTATTATTTCTTGAGTAACATTCTTTTTTAACTTTTGCTTTTTGACTAACTCTATTTCTAGATCCTATAACATTCTAGTTCTTTTAACTTTTATTCATTTTTCTTCAACTTTTTTGTTTTTATATACTCTCTTAATTGGTCTGTTGCTGTCTTAATTATGTTATTACTTTTACTATTAGTATATATGAAACCATTTTTATCTTGTTATTAATTTTTATTCACTGTTGACAACTATTTCCTATTGTTTCTTTTTTACTCATATACTTATTACATTTGCTAATTTCAGTTACTAAGTTACTTTCTATACTTTGTATCTGCCAATGTTCTATTAGTACAGTCTATCCTCATTTATATCAACTTATTTGGATTAGTTTTAAATTATGTTAATAGTAATATTAACAAGAAATTATATTAAAGTTGATATAGCAATCTCTATTAATATCAACCTAAGCCACAAATAAAATTTTTATAAATTTTTATATATCAAAATTTCCTTATATATATCAACTTTAATATAATTTCTTATTAATATCACTATCAACATAATTTAAAACCAATCCAAATGGGTTAATATAAATGAAGGTAAACTGTATATATGAGGAAATTTTGATATATAAAAATTTATAAAAATTTAATTTGTAACTTAAGTTGATATTAACAGGAGTTGACTGTATTTTCTTTTTATTACAAAATCATCTAGATAATAAAAATTTAGAAAATGACTAACCATTACTCATGAACATAAAATTTAATCCTTCTAATTCTTGTAATCCTTCAACAAATAAGAACTTTCAATTTGAAAAATTGTGTGAAGAACTTGTTGTGATTTCTACAGAATGAAAAAATAAAAAGAATGATGATATTTACAATCTACATATAACTTTACAACATGTAATTCAAACAAAATGAAAAAAAATTAAATTGATTCTACAAGCTATTACTAATAATGAACCAAGAATCCATCAAATTAATTAAATAACTCCAAATATGAAAATTAGAAACCAAAATAAGTATTAATTTTATTTATTTATATATTTTTGTATGCACATATATTTAAATCTACTAATCAAAACTAGCAAAATGAAATTTAATAATTTATTTGAAAGATTTTAACTGTTTATGTTCATTCAAGACAAAGACTTTACCATTATTTTTGTAATCGCAAGTTTCGTATTATAATTGTATTGTATTAACCCAAGCATGTATACTAATTCTTTCACATAATGATAATATATTTTTTACTTCCAAGTTAGTGTACACGCATAGATTAATACAATATAATTATAATACAAAATTTAGGGCAAAAAAGACATAATACGGTCAACCTTTTATATAGAACCGATGTTCATTGCAGTAAGCCTTTAAAGTTGATTGCATCTGACTGTACTTCGAAATTTCGCTAATGGAAAATTTGTATGCTCAATGAAGTATCGAATTACAAATAAAAAATTTTACTTAAGCAATCAGTAGCACATAACGATAAATATTTAAGCACATTTCAAAAAATTATCTTGTAACGTTTGAAATATCGAATAAAAATTTTTTTTTACTTGAACTAATACGCACATAACGATAACGATAAATGTTTAATAAGCACATTTTTTATTTATTTAAAAGTTACATTTTAATTCTGTAAAATTTTCTCTTCTTTTTGTAACAGTAAAACTAAAAATAAGATACTTATATATACCGACAAGTTTTAATCGAAGTTTTTTTTTTGAACTCAGTGCTAAGGGTGACGTGACCTATTTATCCAATTGGAGATAGTATTTCATGCATCCAATCAGAACTTGGGGGGAAATTAGGGCTCCCCAAAATAATCGGTATAGCCAATCAAAAATTCGATTTTTGGAATAAATAAATTGAGTTGATTGCTATAATAATTCCATTTATTCAGGATGTATTTCCCGTTCATGCATCACTGGATCCATGACCACACACAAAGTTTATTTGTTAAATTAAGTAAGTTTGACGTCAATTATCAGGATAATGATGACGATATTCTATAAATCTGACCAATGATCTTTTGAATCCGGACTCGGGTATTTGAGCCCTATCCATTTTCACATGGTTCCGAATTTTGAGACACAAAAATCCATATTGTCGTAAATCATCATATATAAGACTCGGGTCTCTTACAATCCACAAATTTAAAACTATAATAGACCCAGGGTCTAGTACACAGCTGAGAGTTCCTAGATATTTGAAAAAAATAGGGTTGATCCCGTGGAACGCAACAAATATACTACATGGTGGGTCTACTATCGTAAGAGGGTGTCTGATATCGTAGAATGGGAGGGAGGTATACAAAATCTCAGCTCTAAATATGTACATATGACTAATCAAAATGACTAGATTTCTCAAGGGGTTAAATTTATAGTAAATTGATCTCAGCTAATATCTGACAAGTTGTCCCTAAGGGGTCTTGTATCCAGTCTGATACTCCAGCCATGTGGAACGACCTTAATTACGTATCTCTAAACTGGGTAGTAGTTGGAAGAACAAGAGCGGCTTTTCATTAATTGGTTTGCATCATTGAAATACTTTTCCAAATTAAACTTTAATTTCTAAATCGTTTAACATGCGCCATTCCTAATAAAGATAAGGCACGTACGTACGTGCGTACAGTACATAAATTAAGTCAAACAACGATAATTTCAGATACCGCATGTGTCACAAGATCCCGGGAAGGGACCGATCTACTTGAATAATGTCATTACAATAAATATATTATCGTTATGTGGCTAGGTGTAGTGGTTGTCCTGGGGCGCGATCACAAAAATGCCGTATCGGGCATTAAATGATAAAAAATCTAAAATTACAAAATTATGTGTACAAGATGTAGTCACGATCCCTTTATTTGGAGCCATCACCAAATCAGCTGAAGTGACCATATCTGTCAATTATTAAGCAAAACCTGCTCATGAAAATCTGCAACTGTAACCTTAAAAAGTGATAAAAATATATGGTCGAGTTCGATTCAGGAGAAACTTTAAATATATTAGTCATTTATTTCGTTTTCTTGTGGAAAAAAAAAAACTAATCAGAACGACCATTAAATAACGCATAATATGTCAACTGAATCTAATGATGAACGATCGTTGTATCTTCAAATTCCTACTTCAGCTTCAGATGAAGCCATAAAACTTCCTAGTTACAGAGTTACGAGACAATTGGCTCTTGACAGAATCATTAACAAAATAGGAATGGGAAAATTTCAGAAACAATTGTTGGTCCGTTTATCTCATATAAACAGTTAATTTATAAGACAAATAATTACGTAAACGTAACCATAAATATTTCTTATTTTTCTAGTGGTTATGTGGGTTGGGATGGCTCTCTGATAATGTGAGTAATAGTAATTTAATAATTTTAACTTTCTACAGTTTCAAGATCCTTGAAGATAATCAATCGAACCTTTATATTTAGATGTGGATTCAAGTATTCATATTTATTTACATTTATTTGTGATTTTGAATTATGTTTCGATAACTTTATTTAAATAATTATACATTTTTTTTTCAATATTAGTGTGTAGTAGTCATATTGCCAAGAGTCAAAGGTACGATTTATCTAAAATCTTATTATCATAAAATATTATTAAACGTTTTTATCTTACGACATCATTCCTCATTAACTAACAGTACATTATGATGTGAATGAAAAGTTCATTGGCATATTGTCTAGCTCTATGTCCACAGGCATGATGATAGGAGCATTATTTTGGGGTGTCCTTTCTGACTCCTATGGCCGTAAAAAGGCCTTTAATCTTACCTTGTTTTTCACTGCTCTTTTTGGCACTCTTTCAGCCTTTTCTCAGAGCTTCATCCAGTTATGCTTTCTGTTGTTTCTCACGGGCTTTAGCGTTGGTGGAAATATGCCTGTTGATGGTGTGTTTGGTGACTTTTCGGTCATATACTATTCTTACTTAATGATTAACTAGTTCTTTTCATTAGGTGCCTTATTCTTGGAATTTATACCAAAGACTCATCAATACCTTCTTACTTCTTTATCGGTCTTCTTTTCATTTGGTGCTGTTCTTACCTCGATTCTTGCTTATTTTATTTTGCCTCAGAATAGTTGTCTAGAATTACCTGAAAAGACTTGTGATGTTCATAAACAAAACAATGGTTGGAGGTTTATGTTAATTTCTCTGGGATCACTGGTTAGTTTGTTATGTGTGTATAACTTACAATGGGCTTATTAGTTCTAAATAACGTCTTTTTAATTTCATTCTTCAGACTTTTCTCATGTTTGTTTGTCGCTTAATCTTTTTCCGTCTTCAAGAATCTCCAAAGTATCTTATCACACGAGATCACGTACACGAAGCTATAGTAGTTTTACGTAAAATTGCTAAAATAAACGGAAATTCAATACAAATTAAAGACAATGATATACCATCTACAACAGACAATTCTGCTAATTCTAATTATGCTGAATCATCTTCAAATGATATTCCTCAATCAGCTGGGTGTTTATCTAACCCTGTTGGGTGGTTATCGTTAAAACTTCTCCCAATTAAGCCACTCTTCAGTAGAAAATGGATTAAAACAACCCTTCTTGTATGGGCAATTTGGACACTTGTCGCTTTTGCTTATGTTATGTTTAATGTTTTTTTACCTACATATCTAGAATGGTTAGGTTTGAGTGATGAAAATACTGACGGCAAATCTTTAATACGAGAGGTATTAAAAGATTATTTGATATACTCTGTTTGTGGGATTCCAGGCTCTTTATTTGGATCCTTCCTTATTGAAACAATATTAGGTCGCAAAGGTAGTATGGCTCTAGCGACTTTCGGAACTTCTCTGGCAGTATTCTTGTTTTCTACTGTCCGTTCTCGTTCTGGTGAAGTCATTTCTTCAGCAATGGTCAGCTTTTTGGCAACTCTTAATTATGCTGTAATATATGGGTACACTCCTGAAGTATTTGAAGTTAAATTAAGGGGTACTGCATGTGGAATTAGTTCTGCACTTGGAAGAATGTAAGTTATCGTTTCATACTTTATATTACATTATATAATGTTTTCTTATTTTATTATACTTTTAATATTTCAAAATAGAGCTGGTATAATTGCTCCGATAGTAACAGGAATACTTCTCTCTATCAATATCTCTATACCTCTTTATTTATCTGCATCCCTTTTTGCATTGTCTGGCATTTGTATGATATTATTACCAATTGAAACTAGAGGAAGACAAGCTTAAATGATATTGTATAATTTGTAATGTACGTCTATATATATTTATAATCTATTTAATATAAATTTCATTTATGCTCACTATAACATTTAGGGTCAAGGTTTACTGAATGATAGCGCAAATAGAGTATATATAGTTATCTTGCAAAACTAGAAACTAGATATAGAATTATCTTGTAAACATAGATTTACAATTTATATCAAGTTTAATATTCTAAAAGATAAATTTATTTTTTGTTGTGGATATAGTTTGTAAATAATATAAATCAACTCACTAGCTTTTTTTATGAATAAAAAGACGTAATAGCTAAGTATTCGGTTATGAGCCCATAAATAAAAGAGATTTTAAGTTGCAATAGTATAAAGGATTAAATTACTTATACTATCACATATAAATTATTTGACTGTGTTCATCTTCGGTCAAGCCAAGAAATCATATAATATTTAGTAAATAGTTAATAGATAACGGGTTATTGCCAAAATATTAAATAATAAAATTTTTAGGAACCTATTAAAAATTATTTAAAATATTTAAAAATTTTTTAAAAATTTTTTAATAATATACATATTGTTTTCGTAATAAATGTTGATAGTTTACCTTTAAGAGATATAATATTCTTGTAAGAATTGTTTTGGAAAATAATGTATAATTACGCATAAGTACTGTCCAATCTTTTGTCACTTTATAAACCAAACAATTTATTTATCTATATGTATACTTTAAGAATATGAAAATATCAATTTTCTCATTTTTTTTTTATGATTTGTTTTTTATACTGTACCGTAAATCGCCATATAGAGTTGATAGTATACCCTCCCACGGTGGAATGCAAGATACCCGGGTACATTAACGGGTGATTTATATGAAAATGATACAGAACAAGTAGATAAACTGTACCTATAAACAATGTTTTGATAGTTCAGTAACAGTATGTTCGTGAGAGGGAAAATAGGCAACGATCGACGCCGAGATGGTTTAGCCAAAATTGATCGCCAAATCTGTCAGATATAGAAGAAATGGCAGAAATAACAGATATAGTAGAAGAAGCAGACCTAGTATAAAGGATAGATAGAACAGATATGCTAGAAAATCTGTAGTAAAGAAAATGTATATAAAGGTTTGATAGTCTGTTTACAATAAAGATAACTCTTCTTAAGTTTGTAATTATGAAGAAAATAAGTAGTAGTTTTCTAAATGTCTTATAATATTATTAACATTTATAGTATTTTGTTTTATCATATTATTCTTGTCTTTGTGTCTAGTAAAAGGCTATTATTGATAGTTTGCTAAAAGCAAAAGAAAAAATTTTATTAGTAATTAGATTTTTATTTATATAAAACTTTAAAGTAATTAAAATTTTGATAAAAACTTTTTCTAACAATTACTTAAACACAAAATTGGTTAAAGAAAAAAATAAAAAAAAAATAAGTTTTTTTGCATAATTAGTAATAAGAAATGTCTTAAATAGAGTGTGGTAACTTAGTGAAATTAGTAAGTTGTCAATTTCTTAAATAACAGAGTATAAGTTCAAACCTTATTAATAGTAAAAATTTGGACAATCACTTGTAAAATATATTGCATTATAGTAATGGCATTCCATTGATTAATTAAAATAAGATATCTGTAACTATAGTTATACCAGTATAATTGGCAGATTATGAAACATCTGTGTAATTTTAGTTATACAGAAAAATACAAACTAGTACTAAGTAATGCAAATCTAAGATAAGTTTTGTAATTATATAAATTTATAAAACTAAAAAAAACTAAAGCATACTTAAAAAGATCTAAATAAAGAAATAACATAGATCTTTAACTATATTACTGTAAAGGTTAGATCTAGAAAATATATACTAATATAAAGAAACTAAACAAATAAAAATCTTTAGATAAAAAATACTACTAACTAGATTATTTGAAATAAACTAAAAAAAAAAGATATTAGGTCAGACTTAGTATACTAAGAACAGATCATAGTTCTATTAGGTTATTGATTTAGAAGTCTAAAGACAAAGCAGAAATATACTATAAGTATTAGAAATATATTATAAAGTTAGTATTAAGATTTATATAAACTTTATAAAGACTAAATCTATTAATAAAAACTATAAAATAGATAGTATTAAAGATAAAAGTCTTCTTAATTTTTATACTATAATGATAATATAGTACAATAAATCTTTTATAAGTATATACAATATTCAAGAGTAAAATATAGCTTCTGTTAGACATTATTAAAAAACTATACTCTTTTTTGAAACAGTTCAGAAAAGATAATATAATACTAATAATTTTATTTTATTAACTAAAAGAAAGACAAATCTTGTTTGTAAAAATTACTCTAAAGTAAAAGTATTAATATAGTTTATAATCAAAAATTATTTATTAAAGTAATTATAAGAAAAATTATCTTTAGATTTCTGTTTCTAAAGAATTTTAAAATGTATTTATAATATTAAAAAGAAAAGAGTGTTTGTTGCTTAATTGAGTTTGAAGAATTTAGTAGAGTTTATAAATCTGTAAACTAAGTAACTAAGCAGTTAAGCAACTAAGCAATTAAACAACTAAGTATTAAGTAACTAAATAACTAAACAAGCAAATAACTAAGTGATTACTAAGTAACTAGAAGGTTCTAGTAATTACAAAAGTTAATAAAAAATTTTACACTTAAAAACTTAACTTATAACTTAATATCTTATTAATTAATTCATATTCTTAATTATTTTATATTAATTATTATTTCTTAATAATAATATTATTTTTAGAGTAGGTCCTCCCAAAAATGTAACAAAGAATAGGAAGCCTTAGTCTCTCAGACCGATTGGAGATCAACTTGGTTTTTCTTTAATCATAACCAAAAAACAACTCATAATGTCACAAACTTTAAACTCAACTATCTTAAATCTTTCAAAATTAAAATCCTATTGAATGAACTTCCTACCTACTTTCACTTTCACAAAATCTATCCATACAT